TTTTCTACCAAAATCTTGATTAGACATTTATAAGCTAAGTTTAATTTTTTTTAAGTACGCTCCACGTCCAATGTGGGACTTGAACTCCTGACCCTGAGATGAAGAGTCACATGCTCTACTGACTGAACTAGCCAAGCACTCCTGCAAGCTAAGTTTAAAATTCTTTTCTTCTACAGTATAAAACCTACAGATTCAGTCATTTTTCTTTTTTTTTTTACAGTTTATTTATTTTTGAGTGAGAGAGTCGGAGCACAAACGGGGGAGGGACAGAGGGAGAGGGAGACACAGAATCTAAAGCAGGTTCCAGACTCTGAGCTGTCAGCACAGAGCCCAATGCGGGGCTCCAACTCACCAGCAGTGAGATCATGACCTGAGCACAAGTCGGACGCTTAACCAACTGAGCCACCCAGGAGCCCCTAGTCATTTGATTTCTAGTAATCTATGCCAAGGAAAATATATTTGCTGAATGATTTACATGCAAAGACGTTCATAAAAGCATATTAAACAGCAAATAACCCAAATGGTCCACACCAGATTGGTTAGGAACACTCCAGTTCAACCTTAAGGTACATTCACCCAAGTGCTAAGTCCAAAATCCTAGGACTGATCTCGGGGCTGCTTTCTCTCCATCACCTCCCACCACCAACTCATTCTGTCCTAAAGGCTTCGCCTTTATTTGCATCCTAAAGCCCTTCATTTCTCTCTGCCTTCACAACTAACTCCCAATCCAAGCCCTGGTCCACTCTCTTCATCCACACTGGTCTTCCTGGTATCACTCTAGCTTAACTGGAAACTTCACACAACATCCCAAAGTTCAACTTTTAGAAAGTAAATCCATTCATGTCATTATCTTATTTAAAACACTTCAATAGCTGTTTAGTGCCCTTTACATAAAACCTAATCCAATTCATATTTTCCAAATTCTCCACAAGGTATAACTGTAAACTAGGCTAGAAAAAGCTCCTTTTAAAAAATTACCACACTGGGGGGAACTTGGGTGGTTCAGTTGTATGAGCATCTGACTTCGGCTCAGGTCACGATCTTGCAGTTCATAAGGTTAGCCCCACATTGGGCTCTATGCTGTCAGAACAGAATAGGCTTCAGATCCTGTCCCCCTCTCTCTGCTCCTCCCCTGTGTATACTCTCTCAAAAATAAATAAAAAATAACTACACTGGGGGCACCTGGGAGGCTCAGTCGGTTGAGTGTCCGACTCAGGTCATGATCTCATGGTTCGCCAGTTTGAGTCCCTGTGGGGCTCTATGGTGACAGCGCAGAGCCTGCTTGGGATTCTCTCTCCCTCTCTCTCTCTGTGCCTTCCCCACCCATGCTAGCTCACTCTCTTTCTCTCACAAAATCAATAAATAAACTTAAAAAAAAAGACCACACTGGAAGACTGCTTAGATTCAGCTGTTCATTTAGTCCTGTTGGGGGACACCTTATTCAAGTCACAAATTGTGCTTTCAACACCCATAAAAACCCTCAAAGAAACCAGGCACTGTAAAGTGGACCTGTGGAATCGAGAGATCCCCTAATCTGGTCAGACCCCTGACCTGGGCTATACCCCAAGTCTTACTGAGCTAGAAAAAAAACTAGAACATAGCATATTCCACAAATCCTATGATATTCTATAGAACAACTATTTAGAGTTGTTTCAGATACCTCGTTGAACTCTGTGAAGTCTCTAGATACAATCTACTCAGAAGCTTTCACTCTTACATAAGATACACATTTATACTTAACAAATGCAAAAAGAAAACCCTGAGCCCTCTGAACTAGGTCACCTTTTCAGAGAAAAGAGGCTCAGGCCATAGTCTAATTTGAAATGCTGGTCCCATCTGCAAACCCCAGCAAAAGCTGCAGTTAATATTAATTAAGAGCAGAAAGACGTTTGTTCTTGAACATCGTTTCACCCAATCAAGTCCAGGATGCTTCCAAATGGAAATCTGCCAATTTTCTTGTACTTGAGATTGCAGATCCAGTACAGAATAATGTGGTTTTTTAAAATGCCACTATCTGTCCAACCCTTAAGATAAGATTCTCACATCCTTTCAGAGGGAGTTTCAATCACCATCACTCAACAAATGGAGACTAGTATCTCCCATAAACTTCCAAAGTTTTAATAGAACTCACTACTAAGTACCAGCAGTGTGTGTGCACACACACTCATACACATACACAGAAAAGCTAATATTCCTTATGACAGAATGTAGGACCCACCTCCTGGCAATCTATGAAAACTCTCCCTTCTATTTACTCATGCAATGCACTAAAGAAAATGAGAACCAAAGATTTGGGTGTGAGTCTTCAAAGTCTCTGATTAAGTCTCAGCCTGCATTGCTTCAGGCAGATCAGACAAAGCCAATGGGTGACAGCTATCATGAGATTAATCTCAGATCCACAGCAGGCACAAACTTTTACCATAAATCAAAGCTAAACAGAATGGACTCAACTGCTTGAGACTATCTGACTCCTGGATAGTAGACAGACTGTAACCCAAAGACCTGTTGAGCTCTTTCTCTGCCCTATCCCCCTCTTCAGTGGGACGTGGAACATGGTGAGGGTTGAAGGGACAACAAGGGGCACATGATTATCTCAAATACTGCTACAGCGCCTGGTACCTAGAACACTGACACATAGCAGGTACTTGGTAAATACCTACTGGATGATTCAGACAGACATTTGCTGTAATGCATTATAACTGTATGTGAGAGCAGCAACAGAATCAACAAAGCCATGTGCAAAGGAAAGAAATGAATTCTGCCAGGGCAGGTGAGGGAAGACTGCCCAGAAGCAATGAGTAGCCCTTCCCTGGAAGAGCATTTTTTCAGTAGGCAGAGGCTGCAGGAAAGCCATGTGGACGGGAGTATGCCGGAATCAAGGCTGGAGCAGATGGCCGGAGCTACTTTCCAACTCAAATTCCTACCAAGGTTTTATTTCCTGGGGTTCTGTCATGCTTCCTCATCTCCTTCAAACTTTCAACTATAAAGGTATACATACAAAGGAGCTGTATGGCTTCTCTATCAGGAGATTAGCTAATGGCAAACAACAGGTAACAGAAAAATACCGTGGAATGTTTTCTTGCTTACAAGGCAATGAGATTGTAAAACTCTTAGAAACTTCTGCTAGAAAAATAATCCAAGAACACCCTCCAGGTCCACTAGAAACAAGCCACTTTCAAAATAAATTGCTGTCCTTCATTTTTCTTCTTTCCTTGATAAGCAGTTTTTAAATTGGTGTATGAAAACACTACTTGGTTCCCAACAGAAAAAGATCTAAACATTTTGTAGTCACAACATTCTATAGAGAGAAACACTGGGAGAAAATGAAGCCACGTGAAAGATAACAGAAACTAAAATCCAAAACGCAAAGAAAGAAAAAAAAAAAAAGTGAGAATAAGGGAAAACAGCAAGTGGAAAGTTTTCAAAACCTCTAAGAAAGTTCTGAAGTAAGCCACTTCCTATCACATTCTCTTTAAAAATGGAAAGGGCACTAATCCAGTCTGGGATGGACAGGGTGAGGTCTCTCATGCCAGAAGGAACCGAGCCCCCAAGTCAGGTAGAGGGAATGCTAAGAAATGGGCTCAGTGCCACAGAATCATTTCCTCCCCTGACCAAGTCTCTGGCTCCCTACCACGGAGAAGCCAGAGCCAATCACAAAACCCTCCGGCTGAGAGCCAGCCTTCCCTCTCACACTGCTCTTCCCCCAAACTGCATTCCAAAACAAAAAGAATAAAATGCATTGAAATGTGGTATTAAAATTAAAATAGACCCAACTGAGGCAAGAGAGAATTCAAGGTGCAGCCTGGTACACAGAACTTTTCCTTCTGAAAGATGGGGGTGAGGGGGTGAGCCTTCTTGGAAAATCAAAATAAAAGCTTGCTTTTGCAATCTTCTCAAGAGATAAAGAATAAAATTGCCTTTGAGATATTTCTTAATTCCTAGGTTTTATGTTGTTTTTCAGCACAGTCCTCTGCCCACCTCTTGACACTAATCTGTGCTTCTGTAATTAAGATCCCTGGATAATTAGCCCACGGATGGGTATTAACCACCCTGGACACCGCTGAGCACAGTACCAAAGCTCCCCGTTTGCAATTATCAAGTTTTCATAAGGGAGTTGCTCATTATGAGATTATGCATCCCAGAAAGGTTATGAACTAGCAGCACAACGGCAACCTCTCGCCCTTCAATGCCAATTCATCAGGAACTGGGGTGGACGTGGGGTGGAAGGAGAGGGGTGAAGGGCCCTGAAAGACTAAGCGATCAGGCGATTTACATCCCCAAATTCACGATGCCAGCCAAAGGAGGCATTCTCAAGAAGCCATTTCCAGGGAAGCTGGATTCAAAATGTAATTTCTCAGATCGAGTCTTCTACTACGTAGTCTCCCTAACGGCCAGGCCCCGGCTTGGGAAGGAGGGGTGTTAGTGGTGAGAGTTTACCTTAGAAGGCGGCAGCGGACAGACAGGCCTTTCAAAGCCACCAGGGCTCTGCCCGGAGGCCCAGGGTGACGCGGAGGGGCAGGAACAGTGCGCGGCTGGCAGCCCCGCGGCGCCACAGGTTCCCCGGAGCGCGGCGGGACCGGACTCCCACAGGTGGGCGGCGAGAGCGGGGGACGCCCCAGCTCCCCGGGGACGCGGGGGGGAGGTGTGGGCTGGGAGGGCTTATCCTTAAGGAAGCAGGGCGAGAGGGAAGCTCGGGGTTTTCAGCTGTCTGCTTCTCACTCCCTCAGCTGGGTGGTTACAGGCTTTTCCCCCAATGCAAGTGGAGCCCAGGCGACGAGAGGAGCAGCGTACGCCTTCCACCCTCCTCCCTGCGAGCCTCGGCACCCTCCTGGGGCGCGGTTAAGCCGCACCACGGCGGGCCACCATTTACATGCTCCCAGGCACGTAGGAGCCTGCACGACCACATGCGGGCGGGGGAAGGGCGCCCGGGGACCGAGGAGACCCGACCCAACCCGATCCCGCTACGGCTCACCCCAACCCCTCGCCCCCGCACCCCTCACCCGTGTTGGCTTTGATGTTCTCCCGCAAGAAGTGGCCACTGGAGAGATGCTGGAGACCAAAGCTCTGAGCGATCCTCTGGCACACGGTGCCCTTGCCCGAGCCGGGCGGCCCAAGGATGACCGCGCGCAGGAGTTTGGAAGCCATTGCCTTCGGCAGGCAGGGAGGGGGCGGCCAAACGGACAACCCGGACAGCGGCCTCGGAGAAGCCCGGGGAACTTTATGGCTTCTGCTTCTGCCTCTGACACTCTCCGCTCGCGCGGGGACTCGCCGGGCGCCCCTGCAGGGGGAAGGAGTGACTTTTGAGACAACCCCTCCCTTCAGCCCCTCGCCGGGGCCGGCTCGAAGGCGGAGAAAGGCGCCACGCTACCCATCCCCGCCCTCCTCACCCCCACGCCGCGATTCAGTACAAGTCCGAGTCCCCGCCCCTGCCGGGGTCGGCCTCGGGGGCTCCGAGGGCGGCCCGGCCAGGCCCACCTCTATTCCTTCCTCTTTCGTTTCCCACGCGGCGTTCGAGGAAGGGGCCGGGCGGCCTGGCATCCCCGCGCCAGTCTACACCGAGGGGGAAGCCGGGAGGGGCGGCGACTCCAAGCGCGCCCCCCGTCGCCGCACGAGCCGGGCGGCCTGGGGACGGAGCCCCTGCCCCGGCCCTCGCACGTGGGCCGCGCTGAGTCTGCGCCGCGGCCCCTCCCCAGCGGCTGTCAATCCCCGGGAGTCGCCACGGCCCCCGCCGCCCGTGCGGACCGCCCAGAGCCCACCTCCGCCGGGGGCGGACCGATGCGCTCCCCGCTGCAACGCGCCCGAGTCCGGCGCCTCTCCACCCCAAGGAGTCAAACACACACCTCGACTGGGACGCGGGGCTCCGAGAGGATTCCAGCCCGGATCCCGCTGGGCGGCGCCGCCTCCGCCCGCCCCCACTCCGAGCCCTAGCCGGCCGCGCGGGACTCGCGCCTTACGTAAGCCGGGGAGACCGGCTCCTAGCTAGCTGCCGGCCGGCGCCCCCTCCCCTTCCCGCCGCGCGGCTCCCACCCCGCCCTCCCAGCCCACGTGCTCCCCACCACCCAGTGGGGGCTGCAGGGGGCGTCGGGTCTCAGACCCACCTCTTGCACTCGCCTGGGGAGCGCATTTACTGTTAAGGGGAAGGAAAAATACAACTTGTTGAGCGCCTACTGTGCGTCAAGTTCAGGGCTAGGTGGTTTCCTTCTGCAACAACCAATTCACGGATGAGGAAAGGAGGCTTGGCGTATCGCCGTTCATTCAACAAATGTTTGTTGACCTCCCACCATGTTCCAGACACTGTTTTAGGCGCCTGGAATATAGCTGTGAATCAAAGAAGTGGAATCTTGCCCAGAGTGCAGCGTGAGTTTTGAACCCTCATCTGCCTGGCTCCAAAGCCCAGGATCCGTGGGAAAGAAGGAAGGAGGGGATGAGCATTCACCTGGGCTCAGGTTTTTAGAGCCTACTAATTTCAGGATTTCAAGGCCCAGGATGTTGGCACTACAATTAACAATTCACCTAGTCCCAAGGGTACTATCTCCTCCCTCCCTTCCCCTGCATATCCCAATCTATAGTCTTTTAAATCTGCTTCTACTCCCGACACGGCCCTCATTTCCCACTGGGACTAGTATGATAACTACCAGCCCAGCCCGTGTAAGCTCCTGGCTTCCGCCAGTCTATCCTCAGTGCAACCGCCAGAGATACTGCTAAAGCACAAATCAATTTCTATTATTTCCTCACCTTGCATAAAAATCATCCCTTCAGGATAAAAAAAAAATCTTCCAAAGGGACGCACAGGTGCCTTCCAAAAACCTTTGCAAATTCCCCTCCCCCCTTCTCTTTCTACAGGCCTCCCGCCTTTCGGGAAATCAGTGCAGGATTTTGAGCACAACTACCCATGGCTCACAGACTGGGAGGGAGAGCGTGGAGAAGAGCCTCCTCTAGAGTTCTGGAGGCACTGTTTGTATTGGGGGGCTGGGTGAGGAGGAGCGTGGCAGAGTATTCCTTTCTGGCCTCTCCCTAGCACCTTCAACCCTTCTCCCTACCGTCTCCATAGACAGACAGCAGCCAGACAATGCCTCGCCTCTGACTTCCTGGGAGCACACCCAGGCCACCAGCGTTTGTTCCATAGGCTCATCCCCTTGTCTAAAATATCTCGGAGTCTGCTATAGACATCAGGAGGTTTTTACACTGGGCCCCTTCAACCCTTCACCTGGGAACAAAGAGAAGAGTTTGTGGGGACGTGGGGGTGACCTAAATCTCTCTTCCCCCCATATGCTGCATAATATATAGCAGATACTTTGCAGTCCTCCTCAGACGTGAGCACACATCAGAATCACTCAGAGGGCTTGTTAGAATATATTGCTGAACTGCTTCCCCAGTTTCTGAATCTGTGGGTCTGAGATGGGCATTTCTGACAAGTTCCCAGATAACGCTGAGGCTGCGGGTCTGGAGATCAGCACTGGAAAAGTGTGATTTCCCCACTCTGAAAACCAATGGTCTACTGCATTGAGCACTGAGACATGGGAGATGTGTGGCCTCTTAATTCCTCTGCCTGCTATGGGACCTTTGGCCCTTAACCTCTTTTTTTTTCTAAAATGAGATTAGATTTAGTACTCCCAAAGATTCCTTTGTATCTGTCAAGCATTGATTGTGTGAGTTCCCACAGGAAATAGTCTTTAGCCCTTACAAACTGGATAAACTTCCCTATCACCAAGTTCTTTTGCCTGATTTTGAAATGTCTTAACCAACATCACCTTATAAATGTCATGGAGCAGTATTAGCTACTCATGCATTTAGTGCTTTAGGCATTTAGGAGATTATATTATGAAACAGAAGGAGTTGTGACATAGGTAAACTCAACAGAGAACCAGCTGAGAATAGAACCTAGCGTTTCACAAAAGAGCCCTCCACAAACTGTCCCCATGCACAGCTGATTCAGGGACCCACAGCTCAGCTGCTGATTAGAAGCAGTAGAACTGGAAGAAATGAGTTTTAGAGTCAAACACCCCTGGGATTAAATTGCAACAGCACCATTCACTAACTCTGCAAGTCTCTTGATCATTGTGAGCCTTGATTTGCTGATCTGTAAAAGGGAGCTAATTCTTACCTCTTACGCCTGTGGGGAGGCTGAAATGAACTAATATAGGATTTAGCACAGTGCTGGGCATATAATAAGTACTCAGTAGTGAACATCATCACTATTATTAACCTTGGGACAAGTATTTAGCTTCTCTGATCTCAGTTCCCAAATTGTGAGGAATAAATGAACTAATGTGACCAAGTATTTAGCAGACTTCCTGGACCTTGGAAGATAATCTATAAATGGCAGCCATTCTTTTCACACATACATTCCTATTGTCAACTTCTTCCTATTTCCTTTGCCTAAGGTTTTAAATCTGTTTGTTATTTACCATAGTGTACAAAAGAATATACTTCTCTATGTCTGTCTCCCCAGAGACAAACTGTAAACTCACTCTGAGAGGAAGTCCAAATTTTATTCATCTTTCTATCCTCGAAAATATACAGCACTTTGCCTGTAATAAACCCTCTGTCAATGCTGGCACACCTCTCTCTCCCTCTTAACACACTCGATCTCAAACCCTGGCACAGAGCTCTCTGCAACTTCACTGGACAGTAATACGAAGTCTACATTTGATCACATTTTACATATTCCTTCCTCAGATTCTCTGATCTAGACTGCAGTGCCCTTGTTTAGTAAACATGAGTCATTTCCATATTACTTTCACAGTTTTGCTATAACCTTGTACCACCTTGGTTCTTATCTGCTCATCATGTTTCTTTATATCGACTCAATTTGTTTAAATAATTTATTTTAAAAAACGGAATATAACTCACTAACTATAAATAAAAGGACACACTAAAATAATATGAGGAAAATAAGGCTACCAAATTCTAGCTGGGATCTACTGTCTTCCTGTTGAGTTTCTGAACTTAGTCCTTATTAAAAAAACAAACAAACAAACAAACAAACAAAGGGGGGGTTGTTTACCAAGTCATAGAGAGGTGTTTAAGACATACAGCATCTAAATGAAACTTTGTTTACATGTAATCACATAGCTCAAAATAGAATTAGAGAATACTAGAAAGAATACTTAATATTCAGTTTAATAGCATCTGAAGCTGGATCTGTGTGCCACCTAGAATCATCTCTAGTCTCATGTCACATTATCTTTTGCATAATCAAGGGTGCATGTCACATACTCTAATGTACTTAGAAGCATACCTTTGAGGGATGCCTGGGTGGCTCAATCAGTTAAGCGTCCAACTTCGGCTCTCAATCTCACCATTCGTAACTTTGAGCCCTATGTCGGACTCTCTGCTGTCAGCACAGAACCTGCACAGAGCCTGCTTCAGATGCCTCTGCCTCTCGCCTGCTCTCTCTCCCTCTCTCAGAAATAAACATTAGGGGCGCCTGGGTGGCTCAGTCGGTTAAGTGTCCAACTTCGGCTCAGATCATGATCTCATGGTTTGTGGGTTTGAGCCCAGCGTCGGGCTCTGTGCTGACAGCTAGCTCAGAGCCTGGAGCCTGTTTCAGATTCTGTATCTCTCTCTCTCTCTGACCCTCCCCTGCTCACACTGTCTCTCTCTGTCTCTCTTAGAAATAAATAAAACATTTTAAAATTAAAAAAAAAGAAAGAAATATTAAAAAATAATTTTTTAAAAGGGTACCTTTGAAATATAACTCACCAGGACTTTTCAAATGATGCAATCACCCCAGCCACAATTCACAGATAAGATACCGAACCCACTTCAAAAAGTAGATTCCCCATTTCCCTGCTGTTCTTCTAGCTATTACTTCTTAATCACTATCTTTCTAAACCATTTCAGGCTTACTTCCGTTGTATTTGTTTGAGACTATAGGCTCCTTGAACACAGTGGCTTCATCCTATTCCTCCACATAGCTAGGTATAGAGACCAGACAGGAAGAGCAAATAGTATTGCACAACTGACTCACTGCTGAATGAATGAGTACATAAAGTAATTTCTCTTTGCCCTCTGTGAGCCTTCTCTGAACAGACAGAAGAAAGGCTAGTTACTTGGACATGTCAAGATTCAGAAAAAAAAAGCTAGAAAATAATGGGAAGAAGGGATAAGATATCAGTCCCTGTATGCTTGCTGCCTTCTCCCTGCAGCCACTCATTAAATACTCAAGAAGCCAAAAGTTTGTATTGAGAGAATATATGGTGAAGAAAAGAATAGCATGGCATTATCTGTGACTATAGTGAATCCTTACAAGTGAAAGAATCATCCCCAAATTTTACTAGCTCACATGCTCATTAACCTATAACATCTGAACAGTTACTGAAGAGAGGCAGCAGCATTTATTCTACAAGCTCGTTCTTTTGGTCACACACACACCCATGCACATGCATGCACACACGTTCCCAAGGCAAGTGGTTAAAAAAGAAACTGGGATGAATGAAATCAACATTCTTCCAATTTACCTGGCATGACCCATTATTCTCCATGGGCAACGGACTATTTACCAGTCATTCCTGGGTTGCCTGGGTGACTCAGTCAGTTAAGTGTCCCATGTTGGCTCAGGTCAGGATCTCGCAGTCCATGAGTTCAAGCCCTGCATCCAGCTCTGTGCTGACAGCTCAGAGCCTATAGCCTGCTTCAGATTCTGTGTATCCCTCTCTCTGCCCCTCCCCTGCTCACACTCTGTCTCTCTGTCTCTCTCTCTCAAAAATAAACATTTAAAAAAAAATCACTCTGAAATAACAGTCCATAACAGAGGTCGTCTCTCAAGAGATGAAGATGTTACCATCTTTGGTCTTTCCACGGTGAAATCCTAGAAAGCAAAGTAACCATCAGTTATACTCTACCCTCCAAATATAATGATACAGTAAATAGTGTCTCACTCAGAACTTTGCTCTGATTT